ATGAAGTTAATTAAAGAAGAAATGAAGAACAATAATAAAGACAATACTCAACGTTGAAATAGTTTCAGAATGATATGAGGATTAATCATTAAATGAAGAAATTCAATTTGAAATGTTATTTGAATCATTTTCCTTACATTCATATTTTATATTTTTGCACAATCACCACATACCCTTTCTTTAATATGTGAAGTTTTTGTATTTTCATCACATTTTTTTATTTTGATAAATGTATAAATACACATTTCAATTTGTTTTATATATTGACAATATTCTTTTGCACTTTCAGATGATTTAAAATGTGTATTTATCAATTACTGTTTAATCATATCATTATGTGAATATGCTATATCATATTCACATGAAAAATTCATATTTCTTCTAAATTTTTGTATTTGTTTAATTTCTACGGAATATTTATTTTCAAATTTAATACAAATAAGATATTTATTTTTTAATTATCAGTATCTTATTTTTATTCATTAACAATAATAGAACATTTATTGTTAGAATATGAATTAAAACAATCACATTTTTCATTAGTATTATTCATATTTATGCTAATTATGAAAATAAAATGTATCATAATCAATATAATGTAACTAAATTTTCTCTTTTATTTTTTTATATAAAAATAATACTCTCATGTTGCAAATACAAATAATAAAATGCAAAAATATTCATTTCAAATATTTATTAAGTTTTTTCATTACATATCATTAAATCAATTTATTTTTATACTTTTTCTAACAATTGTTTCTTTGTTTGTCTTATGATTTGTTTTTAAATTTTAATTCATTTATTACATGTTTTATATGTATATTTCATTGAATGAAATTATTTGTTGGCAATTCATAAGTGTATTTTCATTTTTATTGTTCTATTTGTGTATTAAATACTTGTTATACTTGATGATAAATGATTGTATTATTTTTTTAATTTCACCACCTGAATTTTATTCATTTATTCATTATTCTATATATTTTAAATAAACTAAAACAGTATAAATAAGAGGAGAAGAATGAGATTCAATTAAAGAAAAATTGTTATCTTACTGTATTATTATTTAAAATATTTGGATGTTGGTGTTTTGTTATAAAAGGAGAAAAGAAGCGTTAAATGTAGTTAAAATGATATTATAATGTTAGTACTATTCTTATTAGTAGTAGTATTGATGAATATTTTAAGATATTTTAATTAAAAAAAGATTTATTCATTATCATAAAAAATTATGTTTGTTTGATATTGTTTCATTTTCTTCTTTTTAAGATATATTAACTAATAATAATGAATATGATAAATACATTCATAGATTGTATTTCTAACTGATATTTTAAACAGTCATTAATCAGCAATATAAATTAAGTGTTGATTTTTTATTAAAATGATTAGATTTTTAAATATTATTTATGATTCTTTATTTTTATGTGGTTGTGTTATCTTTCCTCAACTTCATTTTATTTTATTTTTAACTAATATTATTTTTTACAATTATTTAAATTGTAAATACAAGGAATAATGAATATTTCAATATGTTTTTATTTTCATAATAAAAAGTTATTATTTTAAAAAATAAATAAATAGTCAAATTATTTTATGATAAAATAAATTAAACAAATTTTCATTTATTAGTTCGTTTTGAGCTAAACATTGGTAATAATTTGTGCTGTCAAGTTTTTATTTTTTACAAAAACATTTTAATTAACCAAAAAGTCAATTAATATTTCCATTTCTTCCATTAAACTACGACACACCATGATGAACTTGGTCTACTTTCAGTTTTATAATCAGTACTTTCGGTTTTCCATTCAGTGTATGTAATTTCACCGTCAAATCCTGTTCTTTTCTCCCTCGTTTTGTGTTCAGTTTTTATCTTTACTTCTTTGTTGTTTGCTTCTTCAACTGATGTGATATCTTTTGTCTCAATATCAATGTTTTTATATTTAATTATTCTTTTTGTATTTCTCTTTTTGTTAATTGGTGTTAGGTAATAACCCCATGTTAGAAGTTTTTTAATCTCATTTTCTGACCTACTGTTATTACTCCCTTCAACTGGAACACAATCTACAAAATACATTGGAAATTCAATATCTTCTTCATCTCTTGTAGTATCTTTTATAAGTTTCTTTAATTCTGGGAGTAATTTCTCTTTCTTTATTTTAATTTGTCTTTCTAATTCATTTTCTGACATACTGTACAAGCATTTACTCCACACAACACAAACATGTTCCCAAAAACCTTCTGTTGGAAAAACATTACAAATTAATTTTAACAATCTTTTAACATTATCTGACAACACTTCTTTGTTAAAGTCTAAAACAATAACAATAGCTTGTACACCTGTTTGTTCTTTAATATAATCAACCATTTGGTTTAGTTGATTTTCATTCATTTCACTTGAATCTTGAACTCCAGGAGTGTCAATAACAAACACATTCTTTCTATCACCTTCTCCATTATATCCAATCGTCTCTTGTGTTTTTGGTGCAGAACTATTACTTACATCAAATTTAGTGGTTTTAAGGATAAAATTCCCAAGTGAACTTTTCCCATCTCCTATTCCTCCAATTAATACCATTTTAGCTTCTTTTGAATCTCCAGTACTCATTGATTATTATTGAGTTGTTATTTGTTTAAATAGTATTTGGAAATGACAGACTATAATTACAATTTATTTTAAATGATGTTTGTTATTTTATTTACAATTTAATATTCTCATTTGAAATTATTACTTATGAAATTAGTTTAAGTTAAAAATAATGTTAGTTGTAATTGTAAAATTATTTTAATGCCATTAAAAATACCGAATAAAGTATAACGCAGTTAGTAAAATTTAATAACCATTTTGTTAATAGGTTAAAAATAACCATTAGTTTTTTTACAAAACAAATACAAAAAATATCACCTGAATTTTTATTATACCTTTTGTTTAAAAACGAAATTTCAGAAAATAAAAATAAACAATTTTATTTATATTTGTTATGAATAACATTACAAAAACATCTCTATGAAATGAATCTTTTTACTTAACTAAAAAATTTATTAAATTATTGCTTATTCTTCTTTTCCATTATAACCAATTAATCGTTAATAATTGAATTAAACGATAATTTGGCAATATGGGGGTAATATTTGATAATGTATTTATGGAAAATGTAAAAAAGAATACCTGTATGATTTTCATGGTTTTTTATATTTTTAACAATGTTATTTGATTTATAAATTTGTGATAGTTATTAACATACAACAAAAGATTGGTATTTTATTGAACATATTATCCAATTTATCTTGATACCATTAAAAAGAATTAATTAATAAATAAATTAACTTCTCGATAACAACAATTGATAAACAATGACTTGATATATTTCAATTTCTTTTTATTATTTATTGCATATTTTTATTTATAATTTATAACTTAACACATATTAATATTTGTTTAAAATAAATCATTTTATCTGTTTTCTTATTCATTGTATTAATTTAATTCAGCTTAATGTTTTATGTGTTATGTTTTCAATTTATGTTATGGTTATACTTATCACTTAACAGTTATAACTCTCATATATTTACACATAATAAAATAGAGATTATTGCTACATTTTCCAGTTAAAACAACAAATAAATTTAAAAAAGATAGATTAGTTAGTGTAAATTTCTAACGTCTCTTATTCATCACGTTATGATTTAAAGTTATAACAACTTATCACGACTAAGAACTCCACCTACTACACCCTCGAACTTTCTATCTCCAATTTCTGTTTTCAACCGTTGAAGATCTTCTTTTGAAGCACCAACAAGATTCTTTGGAATTTTTTCATTTTTGGTTTTCTTCTTCACCTCAACCCATTTTGTGTAAGTAATACTTCCATCATATCCAACTCTTTTCTCTCTTTGCAGCTTAGTGATTGATAATTCCATGTAATCATGTTTTAATTCAACCACTTTTGTTTCTTGTTTCGTTTCTACATAAGTATTATGAAATTTTATATTTTTTACTTCTTTAATTTTGAAAGAAGATAAAGTTCGTACCCAACTCAACATTGATATAATTTCATTCTCTGACCTACTGTTATCTACTAGTTCATCTGTGACACGAATCTACAAAATACATTGGTAAAACAAAATTTGAATCTCCAGTTGTTTCTTCGGCTAATTTTAACAAATCGTTTTTAAAGCTTTTCTTTTTAGATTCAATCATTCTATCAACCACGCTTTGTGGTGTGTAGTAATAACATTTAGTCCATACAACACAAACATGTTCCCAAAATTCATAAAGTGGAAAAATATCATGTATAATATGAATCATTGTTTTGGTACTATTTAATAGTCGAGGATTATTAATATCTAAACAGATAACAATGGATTTTATTCCACTTTGTGATTGAATATATTTTACCATTTGTTTAACATTATCATTCTCTTTTTCTTTACCGTTAGGATCATTAAAACCAGGTGTATCAATAACAAATACATTCTTTCTATCACCTTCTCCATAAACCCCACTTGTTTCTTGTGTTACTGATGCTGAACCACCACCAACTTTAAACTTATTGACTTTCTTCTTCAAGATAAAGTTACCAAGCGAACTTTTACCACTTCCTGTTTCTCCAATTACTATTAATTTAGTTTCTTTTCTCCCACTTATGCTCATTGATTATTATTCAGTTATTATTTCTTTAAATAGTGTTTTACTGTGACAAAAAGTATTTATAAATTTGTTGAATGATGTTTATTATATAAAATATTTTTTTGTCTGAAATAATTATCCAACCCCTTATTCTTAGAATACCCCCTTATACGTTTCTTTATTTAACCAAAAATAACAATTTTTTATCGAATTTTATATAAATAATATTTAATATTTTATTATAACATTTCTTTTAATTCTTATAACGTGTTTATGTTTAATTTTACATTAAATTTATTTTTGGTTTAACCAATTAAGCAATTATTCAAAGGCAAATGACTTTTGTTTGTTTGAAATGTAAATTAACAAGAGCTAAATATAAATAAACAGGTTTGTGATAAAATATTTGAACAAAAAGCGATAAAATAATTTCACTCAATCTTCGAAATATGTTTACCATATCAAATCATAATTGTTTACTATAAATGAATTATTATTTCTCTTTTTTTAATAATAGGAATTTTGTTCGTTATTATGTTAAAAACCAGTTTGCGTGATGTCGATGACATTATTTTTAAATAATTAGAATAAAAATTAATAATGATGAATATTTTATTATGTTTAAATATTTCCAATTATTTGTGTTAAACAAGAAATATGAATATTGTTTTTTATTAAAATTTTTTCATGTATAGTAAAACAACACCATTAAGTTGTTTTATTCATTTTATTGTTTATTCTGAGATAATGACTATTTTCTAAGGATTGTCGTTAATAACAGTAAGGTATGAATAAAAAACTTGAAATTATTTGTTGTATTAAATTCGTCACATCTTTTTGTTTTAACTCATTCAAAACTTGCAACAATGTATATTTATGTTTTTGAAAACAACTTGATTTATAAACTATCTTTGTTATTGATTTTCTGATATAACACATGGAATATAACTCGTTTTTATATAAATTTTAATAATATCAATTCAAATAATCAAAGAGTGAATTATTTTAAGTATTACTCTATTATGAAGTAATTTTTAAGCCATTCTATTAACCAACACAAGAAACTCTTTAGTGGACTGCTATTTGTGTTATTAGATACTACTTCCCATTCTCCACAATTAATTATTCCGTTATATCCAATTCTTATTTCTCTTCTCATATATTTGACTTGTGGTATTATATTATTGTCACTTTCTTTTAAATCCTCTCGTCGATGTTTTTCTTCTATGATAGTTGCTTTATATTCAGAACCTATTTTTTCTGGATTTCTATCAATTTCAATTTCACCTAAACTTCTGGCTTTTGTTATAAGTCTTTCAATCTCCTCCTTTGATCGACTGTTATCTTCTCCTTCTGGTTGTGAGTCAACATAAAACATTGGTGGCATATTAATAATTTCTTTCCTCGTTATTTTTTCTTCAATACATTTCTTCTTTATTTGATTATTAAAAAATTCTTCTTTCATCTTCTTATGACTGTCTATTACACTTTGTGGTGTATAACAATAGCACTTAGTCCACACAATACAAACATGCTTCCAAAAGTCATCAAATGGAAAAACGTTACACATAATTTCAATCAATGTTTCTGAGTCATGAGAAAGTGCACCACCATTATTAAAGTCTAAAACAATAATAATTGATTGTATCCCTTCTTGTTCTATAATACACTCAATCATTTTATTTAACCACTTTTCATTCTCTTTCCTTGTATCTTGAAGAGTAGGGGTGTCAATAACAAATAAATCACTTCTATCACCTTCTCCATAAAACCCACTTATTTCTTGTGTTACTGATGCTGAACCACCACCAACTTTAAAAACATCACTCCCCAAAATAAAATTACCAAGTGAACTTTTACCAACACCTGTATCACCAATCAAAAGTATTTTTGTTTTTGGTTTTGATTTATCTTCTGGTATACTCATTGTTTATTTTCTAGTTATAGTTTCAATTTCTTTAAATATTTTACGTTGTTGATATTTATACATTCTTTACTTCAGCGATGATGTTTGTTAATTTTATTTACACAATACTGTAAAAATAAATGTTTAATTATCGAAACAAAATACCTTTAACGTATTTAAAATAACAAACTATACCCCCTTTTATTTTATTTATAAATCAAATTGTATCATTATTTCTAAAACAGTTAGTTCAAAATAAAAGAATAAAATTTGACAAAATAATCAATTTTATAACATTAACATCGCATTAACATTTCATTGGTTTTACATGAAGTTATTTTTATTTTTATCAGAAGAAATTTTTTATAAAATTTGGTTTTACAATACTTACATAATTTATGCAAATGAAATGTTAAACAAAAATAAATATAGCATTTTATATCTATTTTAAAATAAATAGATAAAAGAAATGTATGAAATAAGAGTTAACAAAGTAATATGTTGTTTTATGTTGGTATATATGATTAAAGAAAAACACCATGCCTTTTATTTTGTTGTAAACATTATTTTGTGTTTAATTTTATTGACCTTGTCTTAAAGCATAAAAATGTATTTTTATTATTTCAATCATTAGATACAAATGAGTTAAAATTCATGTATGTTTATTTTAAGAATTACAAATATTATTAATATTGTCTTATTATTTCCAGTCATTAACATTGTAAAAATTCAATTATCTTTAAAATGAATTAATACTTAAATTTATCATTTAACTTATTGTTATTTATGTTGGGATATGATTATTTCAACTATTAGCATTATATGTGTTGATAAATAGTTTGTTGGAACAATGTTTATTTCTACAATAAAACAAATGTTTCAAGAATTTATTGAATCACATTCCAAACAGAATAATAAAAGGTGGAATTAATTATTATATTCTTTGTGTTTATTATTTCTATTATTCATGCAAAATAATGATTTTTAATTGTGCGTTTGAATGTAATTATATTAGAATTAATGTTTGTTTCATCAGTGTTCTTCTATATTTTTATAGCATTACGTTAATGTGTTATTTTATTAATGCCTATAATCAAATTTATTATCATGATATAAGTATAACATATCATCTTTCATTTGTTTTGTATTGTTCTTATTCTCATTGTTGTTTATTTCGGTGGCTATTTAATTGTAAAATTCTAACGTTAATAAAAAATCTGTGGATATATGGAAGTTCATCAGTAGTTTCTTTTCTTCCAAACTTAAATTGAATACTTCCAACAATAAGTAATACATGAAAAATAAATCCAAATTGTATAAATTGTTTTTTTTTTGAATTTATTTGTTATGAGAATGTTTGATGTAAATTTCAATATTAACAAAAAGAAGGAATATAAGAATAGCAATAAAACTTCATAAAGATCTATCGGCAATGAGTATAAGAATTGGAGATGTTTGTAAATAATAAAATAATGAAAATAAATGAAAAAGAAATTATCATTACTCTTCTTATTAATTTAGATTCAACATGTACCAAATTAATAATGATAATAAGCATGTTAATTCCATTTTATTATTCTATGAACAATAATTTCTTGATTTATTTTATACCACTTTGTTTCTTATTTCCTTCATTTTTGAATTGGGTGATCAATTATACATAAACTACTTATTTGAAACACTAGAAATGGAAATAAATATTTGAGAAGAATTAAATCACATGAAATTAATCTTCTACAACAACCACAATATTCATCTAAACAATTTGAACAATTTCTTGATGCATTGTTAATTTTGGTGTAATATAAATGAAGTAATAAAAATCTGAATTAATTACTATTACAACATCTTTTTTATTAATTTCAATTCACTCAATTACAAATTGAAACAGTTAATAATTATGGATAAAAGGACAACATTGAATTGGTTTTATTCAGAGTTGATACCTTTAAGTTTTTCTCATATTTTATTTGAAAAATCTCATCCATAACTATTCAATAGAAATTGTTAGAGTTCAAAGAAAAAAAGTGTAAATGAAAATTAAGTATTGCTTTAAGTATTTGTTGAAAAAATACAAACATATTTTTCTATTTTATTTTTACGAAAAAGAATGAAACTAAAAATAATAGATATATTCTCTGTAAAACGTTAGGAATAGTGAGAAATGATATTTCAATTATTTTTAAACATTCAATTTCAATTATAACATTTATTTTTAATGTTCTTTCATCTGAATATTATTATTTTAATATATTAACAGAATGAAATATAAAAATATTCTATTGTTTCAACAATTAAAAAATTGGTGTTTATGTTATTTTGTTTAAATATATTTATATTTTTATTGTTGTAGTTTTATTCATTCTTTATGTATTATTCATTTTATTGTTATTCTTTTATTCTTCATTTTCTTCTAATTCGTTAATATTATTAATATTATCTACTCTTTGTATTTTCTTGATTTATTTGTTTCTTCTTTATTCTTTAAATCACTCTCATAATTCTGTGTTGTGTTTTATTATGTTATTTTCTATTGTGATAACACTATTTATTTTTATTGGAATTATTGTTAAAATATTATGATAGTCAATGTAAATGAAATACCAAATGAAGATATAATTGTATGATAGTAATGCATGTGTTTCTAATTACAATTAATACATATTCTCATTTTTATATCTTTGTTTTTTATTGTTGATATTCTTTTCTCATTCGTTTGTTATGCTTGTTTATCTTTGTTGTAGTATTTCATCCAATACATTATTTTCAATTAATACATGAAATAGATAAATAATAGAAAGTACATGTGATATAGTATGAAGAATAAAGAAAATGAACAAATGAAATTAAAACAGAATGAAATAAACACAAACAAAATCTACATCAAATGAATAATTGTATATTCACTATAAAATGAAATGAACAATGTATAGTTTATTATTGTATTAATCAACTTATTGTATTAATTGTATTATATTACACTCTTATTTTAAATTACATATTTTCTTCAACCTAAAATAATAATATCATTTTTATTATCACTTATTCAAAAACATATCAAATAACTAACAAATTGTATCATTAACTCTTCATTGACACTCTATAACTTATTTCATTC